TAGGTAGAGAGGTTCTTACTAGTTGGTCGTGGGTGACACATCATATCTTCTCAGGGTACCCATTTCATTAGATTGCATTATAGCAAGGACCCTGTGGATTTTCCCACTCGCTGCAAACTTGCTTGACCTCTGTGCAGGATCTCTATATTTAACCATTCATATCTTTTATTAACTATCGAAAACATGTTTAGAGTTTCACTTACCGATGCATAAAGTAATATGATTCCTAGTAAAATTGTTTCCAGCACAGTCCACATGCCTGAAGCGATTGCCTGTAAGCAAATAAAATAATATAAGCAAGAGAGAAAATATGGGTTTTAATCTACTAATATTCAATTTAATAAATAAGTAGTAATATATTAAGTACAGACGGTCGGTTAATCAATGTTTCAGTTCTCAGCTAAAATGGCGTCAAAATTAAAATATGTGGGCATGAAGCTTGGTGTGGCGCAAACTTCTTTAAAAGACGATACCCAATAAACATCCGGCTTGGTTAACAATTCGAAAATGATTGGAAAACCAACCTTTTTTTCGAGTCTCACCTTCGATAACGAATATGAAATAGGTTAGTATTCGGGTCGAGAACTAGGCCATTCTCCAGCAAAACGGAACCCACGTTATCCAATGTATTTTTCTTTCGTTATGAATTCGAAATCCAGCCCATTATCGAATTTGAATTTTAATGAGAGAGAGTGATTTTCTTATATATCCCTTCAAGAGTGAGCTGGATTTCACTTTCTCTCTTGTTATTATGGTTACCATTTTTTTTCGAACCCATCTCGAGTGTATTTCCAATATTCTATTAATGTTGGAAAACTAAGGTTGGTTATGAGTTTGTTCTCTGTTCGATATTCATATTGGATATCGAAGGTCATTTTCGAACGTTCGCCAAAATGTTTATTGGGTACCTAAAAATTGTTTCATACGTATGTATGTGAGCAAATCTGACGATCTTAGAAAATGCACTATTTTCAGTTTTCTCTAAAGAACAAGATTCCATCGCGAAATTTTACTTAGATGAAAACTTAAAAAAGTTATACTAAAAAGATAAAAATAATCACTCGTGCTCATATATGTACTCCTAGTTGAGTATGTAACATATACGCCCCGTAGCACCATACGAAGTCATCAAACACGTTTACTCGCAAGAAGAATGTGTCAGCGTTTTTTTTCTGGCGAGAGAAGGAAGTGACACCAAAAAAAACAACTTGTGAGATTTGCTCATGTAGCACCTACATCAAATGCTTGTCCTAATGAGCCTTATCTTAATCCTAATCTTAGTTCTTATCTATATCCATATCCATATCCTTGTCCTTATCATTACCAATATCCGTATCCTTATACTTATCCTCATCCATATCCTTACCCTTATCCATATCCCTATCTTAATCTTTATCCCCATCCTTATATTTATCCGCATATTTATCCGTATCCGTAATCTATATCCTTATCTTTATCCCTATAATTTTAGTTATCCTTATCCTTAACCCTATCCCTAACCTTAGCTTTATTCTTATCCTTATAGCTATCCTTTCCATCATCTTAATATCAGTCTTAACCTTAAAGTTAATGTTAGTTGCTTTCACGTTTGACTTATCGTTAGGCCTATCCTTACCCTAAACCTAAGACGTCTTTCTTTGTTCTTACTAGTATTTAATTTTTCCTAAAACCCCTACCTTACACTTCCGCTGCCGGAATACAATCACACTCAGTACATTGCAACAAAGCATACACGCGCCCAATACCGATCCCACAGATACATTCAGCAGACTCTCCATCGATACAACTTCGGGTGGTTCACCCAGCAAACAAACGCCATGTTGATCACATGTCGTACAACCATCCGGGCAGGGTATGCACGAGTAGTTGCTATATCCTTCGGAGGCTTCGACAATATTACCACGAAAGCCTTGCAGTGTTGAGTTGGGTAAATAAAAGGATTCACGACAGATACAAGTGTAAACATCGCGCGTAGCTGCCGGCTTATTCTCCGTAAGCAGGCAAAATGTGGTATTGCGATCACAGCTGTTAAAGAAAACGGTATAAATTATTCTCTCAGAGAAGATTTTTTTGTAGAAAAAAAGAGTCGAATTTAAGATGTACCCATGCTTTCGTCCGAAGACTTCTTCTAGCCCATCATTGCAAACATCCTCGTCAGCAGCAATAAAGGCGGCAGCAATGATTCTGAAAGCAAATAAAAAAAAAGTTGAGTGAAAATAGGTGATGATCTCAGCGAGCTAAAGCTAATGGCTAAAGGCATTGCGGCGTACATACTACATTCGGCAAATACAAATGTATGTACATATTAGAGAGCTGCACGATTACATAAAAAGGTAACATGTTAATAATCGGC